CGATCGCTCCCTATGACGTGTGCTGACCACCAGAGGGTGGCACGGAAAGAAGGAAGGCCCTGGCTAGCAGCCCTGGCTGGCAATAGGAAGGAGGGCCCCAGCCAGCAGCTGGAAGGCCCTGATTGGCCTTGATCAGTGGCCAGGCCTAGGGACCCTACCCATGCACAAATTTTGTGCACCAGGTCTCTAGTAAAAATATATTGCCTAGAGTCTTTTTTGTGTGTCAACATGAGTAGAAGCACCCAGAACCCAGGGGCCTGAATTAGAACACCATGCCATGATTACCTCAGTAGAATAAAACCTTCAGCACAAGAATAACTTATTTTAAAACAAACTCTAGCTGAAGATATCAGAAGCCAAGTCATTTGTCCACCTTCCATGAAATACTTTGTATGCTTTTCTCATACTGCTGATATAAAAATGATACTGTAACCTAATGGAAATCTTCTATCCTCATCAGCATCTGAAATAGGTGGCCATTGGTTTGCTTTTCTTTGATTAATGCTATTATGTGGTATAAATTACCTTAATAATCATTGTGTGTGTGTTTTTATTCTAATGGATTTTTTTTATTGCTTGAAGTATTGCAAAGAGTATTACATATATCTCTCCTTCTCCCCCCCCCTTGACATTCCCCCAGCCTCCCCTACCCCCCAGTGACTTATGTCTATTGGTTACGCTTATATGCATGCATACAAGTCCTTCGGTTGTAAACAATGATTATTCTCTTATTCTTAAGAGAATAATCATTGTTTACCTAAAATATTTTATTATGCTCTTCATCATGTTTTCAGCAACTTATACTGTAGGATGTTGAGTGAATTGGAGGAGGCATGTTTTTAATTCAGAGTCACAAATAACTGTACATGAGGTAAATGATGAAAAGTTGGGACTTAGAGAAGAGATGCTGGCATCCACTGGGGGAAGAGTACCGTGGACTCTTTGCATTTAGATGTGCCTGGCAGAGCTGTGAAAAAGCTCCAGCGGCCCACTGCAGACTTGAAACAGTCTTTGGGGATGAGGCCCTGCATTTTTAACAATCATCCCAAGGACTTGGGCCATGAACAAGATGTTATATTTTATACTTGGAATGTTCAAACTTTAAACATGTTCCCAAGGAGAATGCTAACAAAAGCTAAACATTTCTCATGTTTTAATTTCTCTGTTGGGTTATCCTGAACTCTGAATAAGAGTACATGTCTTTCTGTGATCAACTGAGTAACTGGTTGATTGTTTGATTGATTGATTCATTCATTCATTTATTCATTCATATAACAGCTATTGGGCATCATTCATGAGCTTGGACTCTTCTGATGTGGACCTTTTTTGGTTGGTGATCAGATAGCAGTTAGATATCAAAGATTTCCCTCACAATACTTTTAACTTGAAAGATGTTCAATAGTTCTTCATTGGATATTGTTGAATAAATAAGAGAATGAATGCATTTAAGGATCCTTTTTGCACCATAAAAAAATTACTGTGTTTCTGTGTCTCTTGACACTAAGTCAAATACTTCTTCATAATGAAGCAGGACCTGGAATAAAAACCTCAGTTCTTTCCAGTACTTATAGATTTTAACAATTTCTTAAAATAATTCAAAAATAAAAATCTGCTTGGAAATTACAAAAAGGCATCCCAAGGTCACAAAATGGAATTCTAAAAGCCACTGTTACTGATATTTAAGACTTTTGCTCCTCATTAGAGAAAACCAAGAAAGCTGACTTTTTACAATGTAGCAAGTCTTTTAAAAGATATTACACAAAGGATGGATAATATGAATATTGGTATAAAGCAAAGCTTATGTGTCTGCTTCACACACACACACACACATGCACACACATACAAATACACACACACACACTGTCCCAAAAATGTATACACACACTTTGAATGATTATAAAGGCAGTGTTTATTAAAATACATTTCATTTTCAAAATTGAGTTATCAGCTGCTAAAGTGTGTATGCATTTTTGGGGGGACACCAGCATATAAAATAAATTTTCAAAAGCTTGTGGCTGGCATTAAAAAGAAGAAAATTCCCTAAATGTCCCCAGAATGTTCTAACTGGAAGTGATCTTAGAGATTATCCAGTACAATCCCCTAATTTTATGTGTGGAATAGGAAGTTCAGAGAACATGAGAAATTTGACTCAAGCTCACTCACCTAATTAACAATATCACTAGCACTAATCCTTGGATCCCTGCTTTCCAATTTAACCTTTTTTTATAGAATTACATTGGGTGCTGTAAATACATGTCAGTTCATCCAAGCAATTATATAAGAACCAGAAGGCTGATAAATCTATGGTATTTTTAAATTTATTTATTGTCTAATAAGTAGTAGCAAAAAGAAGGAAGTGGCAAGACAAATCAGCCATTATTTTAACTGATTTAAATTCTTTTCCACTTCCAAAGGAATTCAAAATTCAAACATGTACTTCAGAGTTCCTTGAGGGAAAAAAATAGAGTATAGAATTAAACCCCAATGACTAAACACGTGGCCAATTAGCAAATAAGTGTGTGCACTCATTGCCATGTCGTTTAGACTCCAATCTGGAGTGCAATTAGCATGAGAGGACGTAACCTGAAGATCTGAATGTCTAAAATCCCAAGTGCTGAGCAGGAAGACATGCCCCTTAGCCTCACAGTGCAATAGCCTAACAGGTTGTAATGGTGACACTGGATCAGATCCAGTTAACCAGAAGAAGACAGGAAGCCGCCCCACCACCAGGCATGGAGAGAAGTGGGATTCAGGTTACAAGGAAATGAAGTCAACACAGCAGAAGTCATTTGTTGTGACTATTGCGAAATACGACAGACAAAATACACAACGCAGCTCCTCCCAAAAGAAAAATAAAACCAAACGACAAAAGGTTTCACTGTAACTAAACATCATACCAAATATAGTTAATTACAGACTACCTAAAATTGTGAGAGGACTCGTTTTCAGAAGAGTTCTGACCACAGAGCTCAGCCTTTGAGAGAGATTCTTTTAAAGAGATTTCAATAGAGATTTTTCTCAGCTTTTTAAATGTCATCTCCTATTAATAATTAATTCACTAAAGTTCATCTCTGATGGTCTGTTTGGTTCCCATTAATCAATCAACAATTATGCATTATGAGCCCAGGGTTTGCCTCAGAAAGGCTGGGGGTGGAGTTCACATGTTGAGCATCAGATAATTTTTAAATATTTAAAATTTCTTAAGTTTCCTCCCAATTTATCAGCAAACAGCATTAGTTAATGAATGAACAAGGGCAACTGTGCAATGACAAACCACACACAGGTCACGGTGTACCTCTCTCTCTAGCACACAGCTGAGTCCTTCGACCACAGAGGGCACGCAACTAGGTTTCAAAGTCCTTCCTGGGTCCTACTTGCAATAATCTCTTAATTAGCAGCCTTTTCCAAAATGTTTAATGAAAGGTAAGGCATAAGCCTAAAACAAACAAAACTTTAAAGAGTATACGGGAGCCAAAATGTGCTTCCTCCTCTTTGTATTATCACCTGCATGGGAATAGGTGAGTGACGTAGTGTTTTAAAATGGGATTCTGAGTTCATACCCCACTGGAACATCCCACCTTTGTGAACTTGAATGATTATGTCACATCTCTACCCCTCAATTTATTGCCCTGTAAAGTAGAGTTAATAAGAGTATCTTGCCAGGCCGGCATGGCTCAGTGGTTGAGCATCAACCTATGAACCAGGACGTCACAGTTCGAAGCTCAGTCAGGGCACATGCCCGGGATGCCAGCTTGATCCCCACTTTGGGGGTGTTCAGGAGGCTTCCAATCAATGATTCTCTCTTATCTCTCTCTCCCTCCCTTCCTCTTTGAAATCAATAAAAATGTATCTTAAAAAAATTAATAGTATCTTCCTCATAAGCTTGTTTTGAATATTAAATGTGTGATGCTTGTGAGGGGTTGACTCTGTATTTGGTAGATAACAAATATTCAATAAGTATTAACTATTATTATTGTCATCAAAATGATGGTACAGTTATAACTGTTCTGAAATCTGAGATCCTTTGTAAAGCTTGCAATGTAACTTAATAAACAAGAACTTGGTGCTTATTAAATAAATTCTTGCTAAACTTGTAAATTATTAGTGTCAATTATATTCACACAAAAGCCTTATTTTGCTGCCTTCTCTATAATTAAAACATGCAAAACTTCTCTTCACTCAGTATGGCCTCATCTGAACCAGGGACAAGCGGAAAAGGTCATTTTGTTTTTTAGTTGGACACCAAAGCCAGGTTTTAGAGCTTCAGTGGACAGTAATGTTGCCATTTTTTCCTGCATCTATATAGTTCACCAAATCTATCGATTTACAGCCATGCTGAAACTCGGAACAACTACTTCAATGTAAGATTTATATCTTTAATTTCTTTTTCATGTAGCAATAGCAAAGCACGTACATCTGATCATCCTTGACTCTGAGACTCAGATCATCACACAATTTCCAATTAAAAATGTTTATGGGAGTGCACTTCATCAACAAAGCTGCCCTGCTATTCCAACCAAAATATAGCGAAGCTTATGAGGCCATCTGCAATGATAAACTTTAAAATGCTTTATAGATAGTAACTAAATAACATCTTTATGAGAACAAGTATCAGGGGATTGATCAAATTTGTTCTTAATAACAACAGCGATAAATATTTAAGAAACATTTGCTGGGTGCCAGGCATTCTTTCTTCTCTTTGAGGGAAGTTACCATTATTACCTCCATTTCAAAGACGAGGAAACTGACGCACAACAAAGTAACAGACGGTCTGACCCCAGAGTCCAAGCTCTTACCCATTAATCTACACATGGATGTTGTGGCTTTCCTGAATATTACGTTCATCAAATATAGCATGCCCATATTCTAGTAAAATGCTCCAAGCATTAAACCAATGCTTCGAATTTTTTGTAACTTTTATGACAATGAAAGAAAGAAAGAAATAGCACACTTTGCAAATTAGAATAGAGTACGTACAGAAACCAGCCCATCATTCCTACCTCAAGTCTGTCTGTCCGCATTAATTTCTGTGCTGCAGCTGCAGCAGCTGCAGGGACAGGGACCCCAGGGTTCCCTGTGACCAACATGGGTGCAGTCGGCAAGATCTCTGCTGGAACCAGGCTTGGGGAGACAGGTCCCAGGTAGGGATTAAAGGCTGCTGATGCATTGGTGGCTAAGCTGGGTGCAACTGAAAACATTGGCTGAAAAATAAAGTAAGAAGAAAAATTTAATATGAAGGTCTTAGTTGAAAGTTGATATCCTACATTATATATATGTTTTCATCCATCCATCCACCCCCCCAACCTCCATCCATCCATCCATCCATCCATCCCCAACCTATTCTTCCTTTTCTCCCTCCCTACCTCCCCTCCATTTAATTCTGTGTTTATTAACTCTTATTCAGGATAAGGATGATTCTTAAATAAGCACTGATCAAACCAATGTTTTTCTAAAATACAAGATGTAACCTGCCGCTACATTTTCCACCGGAATCTTAAAGCCTGCCGTCTCTAATACTTGCAATTTCTTTATGAACAATAGATCAAGAACTCAATAGGGAAACTTCCTGTGGTTTTCTACATTCCATCTTTGTCCTGATTGAACCCTAGACACATATCTAAGAAATACATTTCATAGTTACTATGTCAGACGTTCTTGAAGGATCTGTTTACAACTGTTAATAGGTTGCAAGTGCCCTATTATCTTGCATAAATAAAGCAGAACTCTCAGTGGATAGCTAAGTTTCACAGTCCATGTAAACTGTGAATAAATCTCATGTTGTCATGGAAAGGTGAGGATGGCACCATTCCTTGTGGGCACACAAGATAAAGCATTTGGCATATTCACCAGTTGCAGGTTTTTCTGGGGAAATTATAAGCTGCATCAGCCTATCATGCTCTTGTGAGACATTTAGCAGGGAATTCACCTTATGAGGGAAGAACCATTGGAAAATAGGAAATCTGCAACAGAACACCTCTAGCTAAATGCTAAGCGATTCTTCAGGGGAACACCTATGGCCACACTAAGGAAAATGCGACAAGATTGAATTTCTGCCAGAAATGCTTTCATGGATACATGAGAATGGTTTCTATTTGTTGGTATAAAAATGTGCATATCAGGAAATATATCTGTTCTTGATGGAATTAAGCAATTTACCTGAAATCTACTCAAGCAATTTTCTTTTCCAATTTTAAAAGCATAACCGAGCACAACAATTTCCCATGTGATTGAGGATACATTTTCAACTTCCTGATTCAATGGAGTTTCAATTCTTGAAGTTTAATGCTTTGTGTAATAGTAATGTTTGTCTCTAAAACACAAAAACTGATGGACAAAATGGAGCCTATTCTTGAAAGTAATTTTTAACGATTCACTTCCTTTTACCCTGTGGTGTGAAATAGAGTCAGAGAAATTTTTTTTGTAGAATAAAAGGACATTACAACATAGCGATTCTTCCCTCTGAAAGATGATCCTGAGTTTATACAGTGTTCAAGAGAAATTTGGAACAAATTTTTAATGCAATTAAGATGTATGTTACAAAAGTAATTCTTATGGTTCAAAGAAACATGTTAAAAAATACAACATTTCCTTTATCTTGTCTGTTCCTGACCCATCCTGTATTTGTGAGGGAGCCCGAGTATTCCCTTGCTCCTAGGACAGTTCTCAACTATGGGTGATTTGGCCTCACAGGGACAGCTGGCAATACCTAAAGACGTTTCTGGTCGCCACAGCTGGAGGGTGCTAGTGCATCTAATGGGTAGAGTCCAGGGGTTCTGCTAAGTGTCCCATAACACATGGGGCAGCCCCTTCCAACAAAGGTTATCCTGCCCTAAATGTCAGCGGAGCTGCGGTTGAAAATCTCTGTCCCAGGGATGCACTCTGCTCTTGACCTCACACATTGTTGTAGGACAAAATCTTTTGTGTATGCAGCTAGCGCACGCAAACTTGGTAAGAAAACCGTGAAAAGTAGAATATTTAATACATAATGTGATTCACTTGGCAGAAGAAACGATACACCATGGATTCCTCTGATATGTTCAAGTGAAAACGATGATGCCTCCGAATGTGCTGGCTTCAATGCCACGGTTAGCTGCCCTGCCAGATCGATGGCTCTTGCCTGAGGACGTGGCCTAAAGCGATACCTCCCATCCTCCCATCCGCAGGCCCATCCCTGCCCAAAGCAGCTACGCGACCTGCTGACAACAAGAAACTATCCAGCATTCCAGATATTAACAATCCGTAACCTGCCAGAAGCTGGGGCCCTGGGCAATCTCTGACCACCAACGGATATTGAGCAGCAGCTGATTTTACGCTGCTCCACTGTCTACTGGCTGCCAAGGCAGCAGCAGGACAAGGGTTGACTGGCACGGCGAATACATGCTGAACTTGGATTTCTACTCCAAAATATTCAGGTAAACATACACTGCTACATACTTGCAGATACAATATGTAAAATTTCAGCCACGCCAGCCATCTGTTTTTCCTATTAGGTATTTAATAATTATTTTTTAAAAATTAGCAATGAAGACTAAAAGACTAGCTCGGAATGTGGTAACAGACGCCAGGTAATAAATAGCATTCCTCTTTGTATTCTATTGCTACGAAGGAACATGTACTTCCAGACAGAGCGTGTTTGAATGCATGCTTCAGAAAGTTACTGAGGTGCTCATGTCACAGTACACAAGCCACTATAATTCTTTAGACGTAGAGGTCCAACTTACAAACTCATTTGGAGGGAAGAAAAGCATTCATATTTTAAGAAAATAAGACCAGTGGCCAATAAAATTCAGCTTTGTTAAAGCTCATTGAATAAAATAAACATAAAATCTACAATGCCTAGAATACAGAAGTTGCCTATTAAAGGGAAAGGAACACTTCTATTAAAAAAAGCATGGCAACAATTTTCCCGCCGGACTGTTTCTATAGAGTTGTCATGTGAATTGATTTCTGGATTTGATCCAGCAGAACAAATTCAAATCTGGTGAATTTTAGGATACACTCTCCCCAAGTAAAATCTGCAGCAGCTTTTAAAAACCCGAAACATCAACTCTTCAACAAGCATTAACTCAAATTGCTCCCTCTCCAGATAAGTGGTGCTATTTGCTAAACAGTTAGGCAATCAATAATAATAGCTCTATGCTTTGAAATCTGATTCCAAAAGCTGCTTTAAAAACAACAAAGTACAACATTCCTTCATTTCTTTTGAGTTTTCTTCTGGTAAATCTGTTACATCCTTTTTCAAAGAGCACCTTGCTGGAGGAAGGTCACTGCTGGACCCACCAGTGCCCTAATCTGATTAGTAAAGAACTTGAACTGCTACACGGCTGATTCTCCATCCAAAAGCCGCCCTGACAGGGTTCAGGAGAATCCCAAGGACGGATATTAACGCAATGGCGGTATTGAGCGGCATCCTATTTTCTCTGAAGTATCCACAGGATAATGCGTAACTACATAATCGGTGCATTTGATACTAACTGCATCCTTGTAACGATGATTTGCAGATACCGTGCTTCTGGGAAGGCATCAGGAAGGTTGGCTTATTATTGTCTTTTGTCTGTGAACACCCTGAAACTAATTGCAAGCTTAGGAATGCTTGGATGGGCTAATCATCTGTTTGTTTTCAAAGAGCCATTCTGATTCCATTAAGTGCTTGGGCTTTATTATAAATGAAAATGTTATTTAATGTCACATTATGACCATTGTTAAATGTGTGCAAACAGGGTTATTAGCATAATTCCCTCTCCTTATTGTGTGCCAGGCATGTGCTTGGTGCTTTACCTATGTTCCTGCATTTAATCCTCGTAACAGTAGAGTGTAAACTTCAGGGGACGAACAAAAACAAAACTCCACTGCTTTGGTTTCAAGATGGGAATGGGGAATACCTGTTTATACACTGCTAACTGCTCAAAGCATAGAGCAATGCCTGGCACACAGGAGGCACTCAATATAGACTGAATAAGTGCTTGAGTGGGTGAATGCATGAATGCGTGGATGAATTACAGCCTTGGCAGGTGGGTATTATTAGTCCCATTTTGCAGATAAAGAAGAAGTCTCTCGGAGATTATGGGCCCCAAAAGACCTAGGATATGGACACAAGTGTATCTTGATTCCAGGTGGTTCTGAAAATAGGGGTTCTCTGTGCAGGCCGCCCATCAGAATTACCTAGAGTTTTCTATCCAGCATGCCCTGCCCCTCCCCCTCATCGGACTCTCGGGAGATGTAGGAAGGCAGCAGTGCTTTTTTAAATGCTCCTGGATGACTCCAATTCCAGACACGAAAGGGCCTTCTACTACTATTTAAAAACAGAGGTAGGGCCGAAACCGGTTTGGCTCAGTGGATAGAGCGTCGGCCTGCGGACTGAAGGGTCCCAGGTTCGATTCCGGTCAGGGGCATGTACCTGGGTTGTGGGCACATCCCCGGTGGGGGATGTGCGGGAGGCGGCTGATCGATGTTTCTCTCTCATCGATGTTTCTGACTCTCTATCTCTCTCCCTTCCACTCTGTAAAAAATCAATAAAATATATTTTAAAAAAAAAATAAATAAATAAAAACAGAGGTAGGTTCCATTGTCTGATTCTATGTGCGGTCGCTAAGGACTCGTGTTCCCTTCTGACTCTCTTCTGAACATGGTTTTCTCTGCACATTGAAGGATGCTCCTGCACAGCCCACCTATTTAATTCCTCATCATGCTTCAAGAATTAGGGCTCTTCCTTGTTGAAGTCGTCCCATATCCACCCACACCTCCAACTCTAAACAGGCGTTTCCTGCCCTCTGCTCTCCTAGATCCTCATCACTCAGGGCCACAGAGGGTAGCCTTGGGTCCTGTGTTTTGTTCATTTTGTATAGATCCTGCAGTTGGCATCTACACAGGCCCTCAGCAGACATTCATTTAACAAGTATATCAATGGATGTGCTGTTTTTCTCTGTCAAAGAAATTAGTAAATGCATTAAAGGTTTTCTAGAAATAGAGATTTAAACATTAAAAAGGAGATTTAATGTCATCCATTTCTCTAATACGCCTGTTAGAAAAGTTTAATTTCTTTTTTCTTTTTTTTTTTTTTTTGGTTTTGCAACTTCTAATACTGAATTTTTCTAAGTTATCATTTTCCCATGCTGTAATGTTACAAATATCATAGAAGCCCTAATTTATTTTAAAATGCTATGTGAGACAGTGCTTGTTTTGCAGACAATGTTGGCAAGTTTTAATAAAACAGAGGGAGTACATACAATAAATAATACATAATTGGTATATGCTGGCATTTACAGAACACAAATTTTAAGTCAGATCTGTCTAGATTTTACCTGTGTGTGTATCTTTGAAGGTCAAACTTGCAAGCAGTAAACCATAAAGCGTTTTTAAAAAATTAACAGCATAATCGAGGTGTATCAAACCAGATTCTTGTACAACCCTGTATAAAATCTGTAAACAGCCTTTGTAAACAATTGTTTTGAATATGAACATAGGGCCAAAAGGTGATGGGAGTGAGCAACAAATATCACATTACAATGCCTTTTTTCTAAGAAGGTAGCAGACAACTACAATGAAAGCAATCCTATTTTAAACTGTTTCTAGACTGACTTGCTGATTGGGCAAATCAAATGACCATTTGCTTTATCCTGAATTTCACTTTCTCTTTCAATCCAATTTTTTCTCAACGTTTAAATAGAGAAGACTTGCTTCTAGCTCTCTGAGGAGAAAGGTAGCAACAAACATGCCAGTCCCTAGGATTTGGGGCCCATTTTCAAGCCGCTTAAGGAAGTGCAGGCTCCTTGATTGAGAAGGGCGGATGCCCTGGCCAGGTGGCGCAGTTTGGTTGGAGCATCATCCCATACACCAAAAAGGTTGCGGGTTTGATTCCTGTTCAGGGCACATATCAAGGTTTCGGGTTGTATCCCTAGTTGGGGCAGGTTCTGGAGGCAACCAAGGGATGTTTATCTCTCACATGCATGTTTCTCTCTCTCTCTCTCTCTCTCTCTCTCTCTCTCTCTCTCTCTCCCCGCCCCCTTCCTCTCTCTTCCTACAAACAAACAATAAAAACATATCCTCGGGTGAGGATTTAAATAAAAAGGGCAGATGTATGAAATATGATTCAGGGTGACTGACTTGGAAACATTTTACCAGAAATACTTGGATGAAGTGGCTTTATCTCAACCACCAGTTGGATAAACTGCAAAGGAAAGTTCTAAAACACAATGTAAGAACCCCAGGTGTTCCTCAAAGTGTGACAAATGATGACATCACAGCTTTCAGCATCAAACTGACAACAACCGCTGGCAACCCGAGGCGAGAGCAGAGAGGAGGCGACAGAAGCAGCAGAGAAGCTCCAGAGACCTGAGCTAAGTGCAGGAACTCTGAAGTCCTCCGTGACTACCCTGCTTCCGATGCATGAAATACATGGGAATTCCACGTGAGTCAGGGACCTCAACAGGGCCTTCAAGTGTGTGCCTTCGAGGCCGCTGTTCTGGGACATAATGGATGGCCAAACCTAACCTTTGGGAGCACAGGGAAAGGCGCCTGAGGCCTCTGCTAGCTCTCCGAGGGCAGTGACGAGAGCCTGAAAGAGACCTTTCAGGAACGGACCAAAGGACTCTATCAGATGCCTCCAAGTCGTAAACCGCAAGGTGCCATCTACCTCCCATTAGGTTAATGAGAAGTGATTAGATTGCCTTTGCATCAGAGAGTACACGGCAAAGCAAAAAAAAAAAAAAATTAAATTTAAAAATTAAAGTGGCACTTAGGAAATAAATCTAAATTTGGATAATTAGATACTATAGGTCTTCCATTTATCTTCCAGTTACAGAGCTAGTCAGCAGCAGGGCCAGTCATATTAATGAATCTCTCCGAACCTCAGGCTTCATCTGCAAATCTGGGATAATACTACCTACTTAATAGGATGGTGGTGAGGATTTATGATACCAAAAGTACTGAGTTCAGTAATCTCACGCATAGTATTGCATTTGCCCCCAAAACATCAAGTCCTCTTTCTGATTCTTGGCTGGGTGCCTTTCACTACAATCTAATGAAGTCCATACAAACAAGAAACTCTCCTATAAATCCCTGCACTCCCCAAGTCAGCCCAGTGTCAGGTTCCAAAGACCCTCCACGCATACACCAGGTCTCTTAAGATTTATGAGGAAACGAGAACCCAAACGGAGTGACATACAGCCATTTCCTGGTCCCCAAAGGGCCCTCATGCAGCCCCTGGCCGCCTCTGAAATGGCCCCCATTCGGTGTGGCAGAGCCTGGGCTGGGGCTCTGGGGCCTGGTTGCAATTCCTCTGGATGCCGGAAAAGGTCAACCACCATGAACCTCTGCCTCTTTTTCTTGTGTTTGGAAAGCTCCTTCCCTCATTCACTCTTTCACTTGCCCAAGCAATGGTTTGTTCTCTGTGACATGCCAGGCACAACACTAGATACTTCTTTTTTTTTTTTTTTTTTTTTAATATATTTTTACAGAGAGGAAGGGAGAGGCATAGAGTTAGAAACATCGATGAGAGAGAAACATCGATCAGCTGCCTCCTGCACACTCCCTACTGGGGATGCGCCTGCAACCAAGGTACATGCCCTTGACCGGAATCAAACCTGGGACCCTTCAGTCCACAGGCCGATGCTCTATCCACTGAGCCAAACTGGTTAGGGCAACACTAGATACTTCTGAATCTGATTGGACCTTGCTAAGCCTTTGCCCAATCCGTGTTCCTCCAGCCACAGTTTGGGGGCCCAACTGGTTGCCCTTAGATTAGAAAACTAAGAGGCTTCGCCTGTGTGACTTCAAGCCCCATCGCTGCTCAGACACTGCTGATGCTACTGATGGTGGGGACCTATTCGCAGCATTATCTCCTTGGAGATCCCCACCACCTGGGTAGGACCCAAGTTTACGCCATCCCCGCAAACACTATCGGCTGGCCAGCCTCTGGGAGGGGTTTTTCCACATTTGCCACCTGCTGCTTCCAGCCGGTTAGCGTCCCTATTTGTGGGCCAGGCATTAAAGTTCCAGTAGGCAGCTGGTTAGGACCATCTCACTTATTTCTGAATCTCCATGTTATTATCTTCATTAAAACAGGGCTGACTACAGGGATCAAAACGTCTCCGGTGAGATTTTGAAGCAAATTTCCCAGATTAAAGCCTTCTCTGTAGCCATTAAAAGCCATTCCCATTAGCAAGTGCTTTAAAACTGAATATTTAAAATGACTGCTGTACTTATTACAAAAACGTCACTCTGCATAGAGTATATTATTTCTAGACTGATCTCACAATGCCTCTAGCAACAGGGTTATTTCACTTTCAAATCCAGGAACCAGGGAAATTAACATAACATAACATAACATAACATAACATAATATAACATAACAGAACATAATATAACATAACAGAACATAATATAACATAACAGAACATCTGGGGGGGGGGGGGCGTGGAGCCAGAGAAGGGAGTGGAAGAGGGCATAGAGGGGATGAATGGTGATGGAAAATAACAAATGAAAATAAAAGTGTTTAAAAAAGAAAAGAAAATTAATGCTTTGTCTAAGCTGAGAATTTTCCAACAAAATCACCAGAAAATGTGGTGATTTGTCTAATGGTTCCAGAAACCTGTGCTTTAGTGATTGCCTAAACAATGCATATTTTTGTTCCTAGTATTTCAAAGCCATGGGCATGAATGTTGCTTATAGTTTGTGCCAGGATTATGATGTGATGACCCTGGAAACGACCTTGAGAGTATAACTCAAGGACGAACTCAGTAGAGGAACTGCCAGGACCAGTGCTGCTCTTTGCCGTCTGGGAACCACACTGCTGCTCTCAGAGGCGCGCTCAGTCACTGAGCGGGTAGATACGCTTTAAATGTTTAAGTGGAACAAAGTACCTCAAGGAGAGATCTTATATCAAGGAAAGTAGTAGCTACCACAAGGATTTATCGGATCTTTGAAGCTACCTATGTGAGGGCTAAGTGTAACAGAGAAGTCTTATCCAATATTTTATGCTGGAGAGAAAAACACTTTTTTTTTTAAACCAAATGAACGAGTTTATGCTATCCCAAAGTACACATGTAAAATTAGCAGGTACCATAAAAAATAAATTTAAGATATCATATTTTAAACTGAGCCCCCAAATAATGAAAAAAAATATATATATATCAGATTAAAACAGACACAGAATTACAGTATTATCTCACCTCAACTGTATAGAATTGATAATTGGTATCACTGCCGATGTGATATGGAGATCCCTCCCACCTCGAAATGCAATCCCCCCCTCTTTTTTGGAATGATTGGTGCATTAAGTTCTAAGAGAGAATAACAATTACATTGAGTTCAGGTGTTAAAATGTATTAGGAAAAAAATTAGTTAGCACACTGCTACAGTTAGCATATCAAAAAAATGTGGGTCTTCACATTCCCATGACCCCAAAATACTACATAAGTTAGTGACATAAATTACTGACAGATATAATCTTATCACTGCAAATTTCAACATACGTTTAACCACAGAATTACCATATCACAATGAATATCAGAACACCTTTTGCAACCTATAATTATGACATTAATCTCTTACATTTCTATGAGCAAATGTGAGTAAAGGTTATTGAAATCATTTACCTTCTACACCCTTCAAAAATCCAAATAAGTAAATAAATAAATAGATGTGCTCAGACTCAAATGTTATCCCCCTACGATGCTCAGTAAACATTAAATCCCCATGACCCCCTACAGCTTCTAATGTTTAAGTCTTTTCTTAAAAGTCCTTGGAGTTTCTGCCTCTCCTGATAATTTCTACTTTTATGAGACTTCTGTGTCCATATTGATTCACCACTGTCAGAATTCTTTCAGCACTGTAACCACAAAATAATTTCAACTTGTGTTTAGAAGAATAACAAAGGCTTTTTTTTTAAGAAAGAGAACTAGCCATGGCCAGTGTCTCTCAGTGGTTGGAGCATCACCCTGAGCACCAAAGGGCTACAGGTTCGATTCTAGGTCTAAGGGCAGATACCTGGGTTGCAGGTTCACTCCCTGCCCAGTCCCCCACCTCTCGTTGGGGCACATGCATGTGTCTCTCTCACATAGATGCTTCTCTCTCTTCCTCCCTCCCTCACACTGTCTCTGAAAAGTAATGGGAAAAATATCCTCAGGTGAGGATTTAAAGAGAAAGATGAGAGAGAGAGAGAGAGAGAGAGAGAGAGAGAGAGAGAGAGAGAGAGAGAGAGAACTATATAGAGTCTCTTCAAGGAGAAAAGGAAGGAAAATTTTTTCTCAAAATTAGAGATGACATATGCCAAGTTTTACGATTACTATTGCCATTAAAGTCGCCTGAAAATACACACTGACTAGATTGATGAGATTGCTGACCCTTTTTAAAAAACAAACAAAACACTTTATATTTGAAAGTCACAGAACTTAGTTTGGAGAAAATGTTAGGGGAAAAACATGTTACAATGCAAATTTCCACGATTTACCCAGAAGATAAGTAACTTCACAGTGTGAAAACAATTTCAGGGTTTGACTGATAACTGTGTTAGAAAGTACGAGGCAACTAACTGATCCTGTCACCTGTGTTCCTTGAACTAGTGCAATCGTCACTTTTACACTAAAACGGAGCACTTGGCATTACAAACGGAATCAATGAGGGCTGAAAACATGCTCACCACGGGTTGCAATGGGGCACCGGGCATCATGGCATTGGCTAGTTGCATTTGCTGGGCCAACATGGCCATGTTCTTCTGCTGAATCAAGTTATTGCGCCCATTTATCTCCAACTGTGTTTTTAAGTGTGGGGGTGGGTGCAGATATTTGCAGTTCTCCCTGGAGCAACGACCCTAAAAAACAAAAGCAGAAACTATCTTAAAAAAGAGTAAAATTACCAAATCTTAAAAAATAATAATAATGCAAACCTATCACTTGGATCTACCATGCACACAATGTACTGCCCACATCATTTTATAATACGTTTAGAATAAGTAATGAATTCACCCAAATGCATTATGAAAATGAGGTATTCAGACATTTGGAAAGATTTTAAAGCTTAAAGAAGTTTTTTTTTAAATTTTAATATTAGCTCTATTGTATCAATATCCCAGTTTAAAAATCTACAAATTGCCAAGATAATATTAAAATATAGAATATCAAATAAAGAATATTAAGCTCCTTCCATAATATCTTCTGGTTAACTTTAATGAACCCCAAAGAATCATGAAGTTTTACTATCTATTTTTACTTGTACTGAGTTCTAAGGAAATGAACTTAGAGGACTCAAGGCACACTGTATTTTCAGTAAAACACCTTTACAAGTATTTCATAACAAATAAAATTTTAATTACTGCTAAGCTTTAAAAGGCCATGTACTAACATATTTAGAGATAGAGAGAAGAAAATTCTCATATGTGACCACTGTATACAGAGATTAGTAAGTACAATGAAATACTGGGGAAAAATATAGCCTTTACCCTTTCAAAGATAAGTGCAGTCTCCAGTGCCCAAGCACCATAAATCAATCAGAAATAAACACATTTACCCACCAAAAAAATTTACAATGTAAAATGGAGAAACACAATAAGGTACTATTAAAATAAGAAATGTGGCCGAAACCGGTTTGGCTCAGTGGATAGAGCGTCGGCCTGCGGACTGAGAGGTCCCAGGTTCGATTCCGGTCAAGGGCATGTACCTGGATTGCGGGCACATCCCCAGTAGGAGATGTGCAGGAGGCAGCTGATCAATGTTTCTCTCTCATCGATGTTTCTAACTCTCTATCTCTCTCCCTTTCTCTCTGTAAAAAATCAATAAAACATATTTAAAAAAAAGACACTGATTACATAAGAAATGTGCATATACCATCCTTTTGATGATTCTTTTTATCAAAATATATTTATTAAAGTCTGTCATATGTAATGCTGTATGAGGGAGTGTACCCATATTATTTCAATGTACTGTCAAGTCATACTGTTAGTAACAGATCTCATCAATTGCTACCTTGATAACTTCTTTTATCAATCATTCTAATTAGAACTGTTTTGAGGGTAAAAAAAAGATTTAATTGAAGGCACCAACCACCTTCCTGAGCTTTATTTGAACTTCCTAAGGAAAATTTATCTCCCATAATTTGGCCTTTTACTGTAAATTGACACGAAACTGATGCTTATGTTTGTGATAAAAGCTGTCAATTCTAATTTGAATGATCTATTTCTAGCTTGTTTAGATGAAGGTGTTTAGGAATAAGTTTCTATGCAGAGTGACTATCTTAGGACACTGCCTGTTACTTTAATAAGCTCTATGTAACAAAGCATTACTAATTGAACTTGAGATCAGACAGCAGTAGAGGACAGTAGTTGATAGCAAGGACCATACAGGTCTGAAGACCTGGGGTAGAGGCCTAGCTCTCACTCATCAGCTGTCTGAACTGCATAAAAAGACTAACTTCCATAAGCCTCAGGCTTTTTATCCATTTCAAAATTGCTACCTAACCTTCACCAGAGTTTTATTATGAAGATTAAAGCAGCTAATGTATAGTCATGCTCTTGACACTCACTGCATGCCCCTCTCTGAGCGAGATAAAGGTCTGAAGCTGCTATTACCATCCCTTCCACCACATTTTTAAATTGCATATCAAACAAACAAAAAACAACCTTTTGGCATGAAGGTAATTATTATGGGTATTGATATGTTCACAAATAAAGTAAGATTTAGATATCTATAACTTGTTCCATATGAAATTGTCATGCTTGATATCTGCTGAGGTCATGAGCATGTTATTAGCTTAAAAGCATCTGGATACAAAACACCTTTTACAAAAACAGCACTTAGAGTCAAGGGAAGGACTGGCCAACAGAAATAAGCTCAAGGATGATGGATAGTCTGACTTCAGGGTCATTCAGTTGGAGTCTCCTAGAGAAAACCTGCCTTTTCCATGCAAAGAACAACCTAAGAGCAATCCTGGTTCTCAGCATCTCCACGTCATCATTCTCACTAAGACTGGACTTTGTTAAGCGCAGACAAGCAGGGGTATATCCACCCTGTGGATTCAGTTACCGTCAATGCACTCAGCTCGGTTTCCATAGTTTCATAAACAGTACACAGGTAGCCCTGAGCACGGAACCAGGCCTTGCCAAGGCTAACAGCGGTCTTGCTAAGGACTTCGTTCAAGTGCCTCCCCTTAACACAAACCACCGGGCCTCCTACCTGTGAACACAGCCCAGGCTGAAATAATGAAGGAGAGAAACCCAATTTGTCCCCTATATATCCCGTGTCGGGCATCGCAAACTCTGAATAGAAGCTGAGCCCTTTGGTTTTCTTTCTGTATTTGCTACCTCTACTCAGGAAGGCTACCCTTCTGTGCCCGGCTTGATCTGACAGCATCTGAGCCGTGCTTTCAAAAAGCGATGCTTGGGAAAAGTATACAAGCCTCATCCACAGAGGCCTGTGGCACTAGGTCTGGGGGCCCAGGTTATGCCGAGAGAGCATAAAACACGGCAAAACACAACTCTATAAAGCTGCATGAATTTTGCATTGACGCGTGTGGAAAAAATAACACAGTCGCCTCTGCAATTAATATTAGATAAACTTAGCTCCTTAGGAAGTTCGGGACTTGTTTAATGCTGACCGTGCTGCTGAATAATTGTGGTTTGACAAATAAAAACAAAGTAAAGAATAACTTAGAATAAACAGCCTTTTCTATGGGATTGCCTAACACCCCAGGGAAAACCACAGGCAGCATACCTTCCTCGGAGAATTCAGGTAAATACGACACTGGTACTTCTCTCTCCAGGTGCAGCTGTCTGGGTTCCCAGCACCCACACCTCAAGAGTCATTTGCAGAATGAATGAAGGGACATGTCTTACAAAATAATTGAAGATGAATTATTCTAACTCTATTCTGGAGACAATAAAGATAACAGAAGGGGGGGGGTGGACTAAATCTAATACCAAACTTTGATTTTGAGTTGCACTAACCGAATGCTGCACTTATTCAGACACCTATAATTTGACTGCACAAGGAAGCGTGCCATGACAAAAGGACCTAAGGTGACATGTTTGGGAGTTTCACCAGGGAAGAAAGAAGATTTGTGTTGAGATTGACACCCTAAAAATCTATACAGTGATAACGTTCTAAAAATCTCAGAGCAGAAATTCCATCAGTATCTAGCGCTTACTTATGCAGATCTGTACGGGAGATACTACTCTACGTCATCCAGAGACTTGGCCTCAAGACATTAAATTGGGCTGTTTGGATTAATGCAAAATATAAATATCAATAAGTTGTTTGTTTGGTTTTTGTATTTCGTTTTTTCAGTTTGAATGCTACAATGCAGTTCCAACAAGTGCCATTTAATTGTACATTTTATCAAACATAGGGTGGTTCAAATAGCAGCTTTGTAACTTACTTGCTGTGTGACCTGTGGAAATTACTTAAGTTCTCTGAGTGGCCAGACCTTTTCAATAGAATAGTAACAATACCATTCACCGCACTGGTGATGTCTGAGTGCCGGGAGCCAGTCCATCCTTGCTGTTTCAAGGGACCTGGCATATATGGCATACTGTTCTTAATATGTTTGCTCACCTTCTTGGCACTATGTGTTTTAACCAAGGTCTCTGAGAAAGGTTGTTTCCCCAGGTAGGGATTTTCCTCTGAAGTTAGGGAGGGAATAAAACCTCTTAACTAAGTGCCAGGTGGGTAATTAATCACTTTAACTACGAACAATCATGCTTAAGCTACATAATCTTTACTCCCTGGAATGGAGATAAGAAACGCCCTAACCTTTGGAATAGAGATTGATAGGATTGGAATCAACTGGTATAAATACAGATGTAACAAGACAGAACTTAGAAGAGAGAACCTACACAGAACCTAGAGACAGAAGAACTTCGCTGGAGAGAACATGGCAAAAGATCCTGGACAGAAACTGGCCTCAGAACCTAGAGACAGAACCTAGCGAGAGAACATGGCAAAAGATCCTGGACTGAACCTGACTACAGAAATTGGCAAGAGAACCTGACTAGAACCTGGTGACTGAACCTGGCTGGAGAACCTGGACAGAACCTGGCTGGAGAACCTAGCGAGGGAACATGGCTACAGAACCTGGCTGGAGAACCTGGAGAACCTAGCAAGAGAACATGGACACAGAACCTGGCTGGAGATCCTAACCAGAACTTCGCTGGAGATCCAGACCAGAACTTGGCTGGAGATCCTGGCTAGAGATCCTGGCTAGGCTGCTGATCAACTGAACGCTGTCTCCGTGTCATTCCTTCTTCGCCGACTCCGTCCACACCTTTGGGGACCCCTGGACCTGCTGGGGTTGGACCCCAGCATCTGAGGATTGAGCAAGATAGCAGGCCAAGCTCATACATGGCTCCAGGTATAACAGGATATCAATAACTATTATTTGTCTCTCTTTTCCTAAGTCTCCAGCAAATCACAAGCAGCAGTTGCTTCATTTAGCACCGTTCTCTGTTAAAAGTGCTAAAAAAAAAAAAATTATAATACAAGTAGCACAACACAAGGACAGTGCATGACAACCATCAGTAATATAATATAAGCTTGGCCCTTAATCATCATTCTGTACTTGCCACACTAAGGAAAAAAATGCTATTTTAATACGTTTCTTACAGTGTTAGGTTTCTGTGGTTTGTTTTTGTTGATTGCACTGAAATCTGATTTTCAGTGAGCTATTAGGCTGACTAGCAGGCTGCATTAAAGAGCCTGTGCCATCAATACCTTAGACTCCATTCAAGGAGGCTTTTTATAGCTTAACTCAACCCAGATTCCAAAGGCATCGCTGTAATACATGAACTATATATTTTAAGGGAATGGAGGAAGTTCAATAATA